ATTTCATTGTCAACTTGCTCTTTCTGACACATATTTATCTATCCTTAACCTGCACACGCGCTTTCGTCATTAATTTAATTTTTTTTTAAAAGGGCACCAGCATTCAAAAACATCGCATTCCAAAACAATTTGTTCATCAATAAGAGTCACTAACTACCAATGCAATAACACACAATTCAGGAAAAAATGTGAAATATTCTATTCAAACGTGACGCGAAGTTCTTGCCGAGTCTTACAGAGACCAAAGTTAAACAAAATACGCTAACGACCTTGTATGAAGCAACGTTGCAAGCATTGATTCCGTATTTAACAAGACTAGTTAAGCTACGTTTAGCGTGCCATTATATGGTAAAACATTTAATTCATCCTTATTCCGAACTTAACGCTGAACTATATAAAAGTATCTCTGCATGTTTTATCATTAAGAGTTCGTCGAATATTTCTGCATATATTTTGGAATTTATGAATTTTTTCATATATATCCATTTCTGTGAGGAACGGTACGTTGTAACGGTATGTTGGCTAACTTGTTCCAGCATCATATTTTCCAAAATTATTTTGGTGCGTATAGGATGCTTTCGCACAAATGCCATCGTTTTGGTTTTCGTTTTTGAAACTTTAGGTTATATCCTTTGCAAGTTTGGTTTAATTGGTGGATAGACCTCTGTAAGTCATCCTGACTTCTTGGATTAAAAATTGATCATCAGCAAATAGGAGTGTATTTAAGTACACTCCATTTCTAAGCTTAATTCATAGGCTGATTTTGTTCTTCCATTCTCGAATGACGTCATCCAAGTATATGTTAAACAATGTTGGGGAAAGGCTGCATCCTTGGCGAACTCCTTGGTTTTTTTTTTTTTGTTTTTTTGAATACTTTTCTTCTAGTTCTAAAATAACAGAGGTATTCTGATACAGAGATTTAATGGTATTGATTAAGTGGTGTGGGTAGCCTCTTCTTTCCATAATTTCCCATAACGTGAAGCGTTTCAATTTATCAAAAGCCTTTTGATAATCAACAAAAGCAAAATGGGTTTCTAAATTAAATTCACTACATTTTTCTATTCGTTGTCGCATGGTAAAAATATTTTCTGTACAGAATCTTTTCTAAAACCATTTTCTTTTTCTATTAATTAAAATTTCAGAGATATTAACGAGTCTTTTATTTAAAAATTTTTGCATATATTTTATAGCATGTGGGTAGTAAACGAATACCTCTATAGTTGCCACAATCGGTCCTTTATCTTTTTGTAAATAATGAGATTACTTTCGCTTTTTGCCATTCTTCAGGGTCATGGCATTGCTACCAACATAAATTCAATAGGCGGAGGATTCTTAGTTTTAACAGCAGACCTCCATATTTAATTAGTTCAGCATTAATTTCGTCATGTCCCGGAGCTTTCCGATTTTTTAGCCCCGTTATTGCTGTTTCTAATTCTTCTAAATTAATGTCATCTATTGAAGCATGTACATGTATTTCACTTTGGCTTTTTTCGTCTTCAGGGTTATATCATTAAAGTCTGATAATGTTCAACCCACTGACTTTCTTTTATAATTGTCAAATTAGCTGTGACTTTTAATTCACTATTGATATGCCTAAATACTTTATATACTAGTTGTTGTCTGCTATGAATGTCATTTTCTAATTCGCTTATAAATCTTTCCCATGCTGATTGGTGACCATTTCTAACTATTTCTTTGGCGATATTTCTTTTAGCTTTGTATATTCTCCATGTTTCATCAGTCTTCATTTGCATATGCTTCATATATGCTACTTTTTTGTGTTATGGCTTGTTCTATCTCTTCGTTCCCTATTTTAAGACCTTTACGTTTCCTAAATTTTCTTGATTTTCCTAAAGATACCGAAGCCGCGTCTTTAATTATGGTTTTAATATTTTCCCATTCTTCTTCTAGATCATCGCTACTGATGGTATCTTCAATGTTCTGTGCCATTCTGGTTTGATATAGATATTTTACGCTCACTTGTCGCAGGAGATGGACCTTGAAGACCTCTGCCTTTTTCTGGTTCTGATGGTAGGAACTCGAATATTTCTTCTTCCACATTGCTAAGACTTCTATATCTGATTTCAACCAGTAATGGTCTGAATTTATGTCACTTCCTCTATATACTCGTGTATCTCTTACTTCACTTGCTAATTTCTTATTCACAATGATATTGTAACGTCGTGCAAATGGGCCAGATGGACCACACCTGTCGGACGCCCAGCAAGGGAACGGGGGCAGTCCTTTGGCGGCAAGGGGAAGGCCACCAGAGGCGGACCCTCCTCAAGGGCCGGGGTGGGCGAAGCTCGGAACGCGGGTGTCAACTGGCGCAGAGCGAGATGATGGGTGAGTCCAGCGCGGTGCAGCTGGCCCTAAATTAAAAACAGGCCCACTTTTCGGGATGAGAGGACGCCGCCGGCAAGGGAGGTCGGTGACGCGAACCCTCGCGAGGCGGCTGGAGGGTAAGCAGCCGTCGCTTTTGGTTGTCGAACGGAATCGCGGTGCGGAAGGCACTTTTCATCTGCCAGGGGTTATCGCGAGCTTCGGCTGCGAGGTGTGGCGGTTGCCACGGGACGAAAGACCAGGAGCGGCACCAAGCCGCTGGGGTCTGCGTCAGAGTGAGGCGGGCATGCCTCCGAGATGTGCAGTGCTCGGAGTGCAGCGCTAGTTTCCGAGGAGTGTAGATAGTGTAAAAAAACTTGTGAATAAATCTGTACAAAACAACTTCGTGTCTGTATGTTACTCGCACCAGACGACACCACAATATAATCTATAATTGATCTCAGACCTCTTGCTGTCCATGTATATTTATAAATATATTTCGAAAGAATGTATTCGTTATGTTAAGTTGTTGAAGGTGGCAAATCCTCTAAGCTCTCGCCCATTTTGATTCTAGTGATTCTCTCCAAAAGATCCAACGATTCGAGGTATAGGTATATTACCTACTCTGGCATTAAAGTCTCTTGCCAATATTATATGGTCATTTTTATTGGCTTTATGGTAATGTTGCTGAAGTACTTCATAGAATTCTTCAGTTAGTTCCGTCCTGCCTTCTTCAAGAACATATGCAAATATAGTAACAAATATAGTAAGATACACTCTTTCTATTTTTAATCGTACGATCAATATTCTATCATTGAAAAAAGTATAGCTTTCGATTTTGCTTGTCTACTTTTTATCAATAAGAATTGCGACTCCACTTACAGTCTTTTTTTGTTCTACCCCACTATATATCATTACATAAATTTCCAGGTCTTTTGTTCCTTTAAGTTTCTTTTTTGTTACTGAAATAATGGCTATATTATCTCTTTCTCTTTTAGTTCCCTATCTAGTTCTAGTTCTTTTGTTGACAGACCCCACACATTCCAAGCAGCAATCTTTAATATATCCTTTATTCCTTATTTCTTATCCTTTTCCTTTCCAAATTCGTCATAAGTTCGGTCCGGCCATCTTCTTTGAAGCTTGCGAGTGTAATTGTTTCTACGTGGGAGGGTTACCAGCCCTTGGGACAACTTCCAAGCAGGGAAGAGACTGGATTTTTTATCAAGGTTGTCTCCTCTAGGCGAGTTGGGTTTCCGCTGCCTGAAGAGCCTCGCCTACCCTTCTCCACCTCTCCTACGTTACAGGGCCTCTTCACAATCTCCGCAAAGCTGATGGTTTTCTATGTATTGTCCTCTTCTGGAGTTACCTCCTGAAATCCTCTTCTTGGTGTTGAGGTCCTCTTCTGGAGTACTTCTTTGTCTGACCCCTCTCCTTCGACCTGTCCGGCAAGGGAAGCCCTACCAGTAGCTATGCTACCGCCAGCATAGCTCTCAGGGTCACAGGGGTACTCAAGCTCCGCCACCAACGTCAAGGTCATGTACTCCCCAGGCGGAGCGTGACAAGTTAAAGTTAATAAATACTGAAAAATTTCAGTGAGGAAAATTTCCCTGATTTTACGCCCTGTGGATCCGCGCCTGGTTATAGGACAGTATTTGCAGTGTTCGGGTTACTGTTCGGAAAATCATTTGTGTGGTTTGGTTCAGCCGCATGTTTTCTGCTGCTGACCATTAGCTTATTACTGCTGATGTTATTATTAATATTGTTATGTCCGTTTTTTACTGTTACAGGTAAAAGTTTGGTTTCAAAATCGTCGAGCTCGACAGAAACGAGAAGAGAAAATCCTCAGTGTATCATCGCCTCAACAAGACCTCCGTTGCTCATCGAGGCTACAAATACAATAATCACGCCCTCAACAACAGGGTAGTCACATTTAACATAACCAGGGACCTCTATCGTGAGCTATCTACTTCGCCCATGATTTGATGTTAGCTTAAAATATTATATGTATTTTGACATCTTGAATCATTAACACAAGAAATTGTATTTGGACTGATAGATGCGAAAATCTGATGTATTTTCACAGTGCATTTGCTTTACATTATGTACTATTACTACGCGTTCATTTCCACTTGTGTATGCTGATTTGGCAATTGGAGTCATAATCAACAAATGTACTGGAAATGTACTCCTACAAATTCCATTGGTTTCCCCATTTCATTTCGGTTTCCGACATTATTCTCGAACTGAATGTATACATCCAGAAGGATGTTCATAACGCTTTTTTTCAAGGAACTTATGCTGGGCTTATAATATAGGTTTTACAGAGATGGAATTAGTTCATGGAATGTCCATTTGAAAGTGGCGTACTCACTGGATAATAACAAGATATAAAAACAATTCTAATAGTATAATAGTGTTGCTTACAGTTTTGGAATTTAATTCTTCGGAACACAATAACACAATAATACAGTATATCGCAGTGGAAATGCTACAAAAAACACTAAATACATTGAAAAATAAAATACTTAATTTTGATATGCTTTTCACATAAGGTGAGCGAACATTACGAATACCTATACTTTTTAAAGTGCGGCTGGTTTTCTCCAGAACTGCACTTACTTTATTTACTTTTCTTTTTTGTTCATAAAGTCCAAGAAAAGTAGTATTATTTGCACCGAAAAAGCCCTAAAACTAATTCTAGGATAATCAACTTAATAAACAAGGAAACTTGCATAGAATACTCCATAAAACTTCCGATTTATTCCGAGTATTTTCAGAGTATTCTTTTGCAATTGTTTCTAAATGAACACCGTACTATTTAAAATAACACACAGCGATTAAACACGCAGTGTAAATAGAAATGAAACTGTGTTAAAAAGTTCAACTATAAAGCATGCACATTTAATAGCCATTGATTTTAACTTGTTTTAGTATCAATAAAAAATCTTGTAGTCGAAAACATCTCTCTTTTTTCTTTCTTTCTTTCTTTCTTTCTTTGAAAATGAATTGTGTTCTACAATCAAACTCCTCCAATTTCATATAATTACAGTGGTAGTTTAAGATTCTGGAAGTATTCTTGGTATATTTTAGTTTGACAAAAAGCCTATTACACCACTTTCAAGAATAAATGTTGAAAATAAATTTTGTAAATAATTGTACTAAAAATAAAGCAAATAAAATATTATATTCCACTTCTTTCATTCATAGTAATTTCACGTTTCTGAGTTTTCCAAAGGTTTTTACTTTCTCGCCTTTACTTTGTAAGGGGTCGTCCATATATTATCTAACGGTAATGAGGGGGAGTGCGTTGAGACATCGTTACGCTGCGTTACATAAAGGTTCGTAGTTCAGTGTTACGTAATGCTAATATTTATTTTAAAAATTTTCCAACATTTGCTGACTTTGCTTTGCTGCCTTTCATACAGTCTCACACTCAAACATTAGAATATTAACGAACCAACTTTAAAAATAAATAAAATTAATATGCATTTATTGTTACTATAAATAGAAATATTTTTTCAAGTGAGAATTATTTTTAATTGATTGAATCTGTTAGATTACGAATAAAATATTCAAAATTGATCTGTAGTCTATTCTAGAATCCAACTAAATTGACGCAGTAGACTCGCGGCTCACTCGTCTACAACAGCGGCGTGTGCACGGCTTGTCAGAAAATTTCTCGTCTACCCGTCTTTCTTCATTCAAAAATTGTGCCAATCCTATTGAAAGATACAGTCCGCATGAACAACTAATTCTGACTTTAATTATAAAATTTAACACAAAATTAATACAACTCGTTGTGTACCACTTCATAAATTTAATTTTCCTACTTGTAAATGACAGAAGGATGCGATGCAGATGCACTACAAGGGGAGAGGGGGTGTACAAAATACTCCAAATTTGCATTACGTAATTTATGGACGGCCCCTAAGAAGAGAAATATTGTAATCGAGCGCCGACAAAAGAGCGAATTTCCGACAGAAAAAAATATTCATGGGTTGTAGTAACGACAAAATGAATAAATCTTATTCCTGTATATAATAAATAACTTCCTCTAAAACATTTTACAGCCTGAATCCATATATTATAGGTCCTTCATGGCGAAAAATTGATCGACGGCAACTCCGTCCGTCCGTCTGTGGTCAAAGTTAGGGCAAAACCGTCCAGCCGATTTTCTCCAAAATTTATAGGCTGCGATCAATTTAAAGGAACTCGAGGTCCTCTTATTTTGAAACAGATATTTTGAATTTTGGGTATACTTTACATGAAGCCTCAATATTTTCAAAATTCACTCTAGGATAGCTCCAATTTTTTTAGATAAAAGTTTGTCCTCGGATTGCGTAAAATACGCTTAAAATTAAATGAATTACATATGTGATCTTTTGATATTTCATGGTTTTGTATAGCTTTTAATAAATTTTTCATGCCAAAATATCCATCTCTACTCCAAGTATTCAGAGGGTACCATGTTAAATTTCTTTTTATTCATGAAGTACGTACAAAGGCGAGAAAGTAAAACTTCTTACATTGTATTTTTAATGAATTATTTCTGATTCTTAATTAAGAAATAAAAATCCTTAATAAATTTTTTAAATCGCTAAACCTATAATGTTCTCAAATTCAATTCTCGCGTTCTGTTGCACATTTGCGTCCACTGCGGCATTCAATGCGGTTCAACCGTTCCCACCCTAAGCCCTTTTCCCATGTGGGGACAGACATTGATCCCAAGAGCGCTCTAACAGCCCCTTCCCACAGCGCCACTCCACATCGCTTCCGAATGGCACGACTGGTAACAATGCGTTGGTTTAAACTTTAAATGGAGGTCTTCTCACGAGTTGCTGAGTCGCGCTACTGTGACGCTCGGATTCATCCGCGCCACATTTCATTGCGCGTGAAACAGGCTGAACGGCCGAATAACATCCACCCTTGTGAATTGGCAAAACAGCTTGCTGTAGAAAGAGAGTCTTATGTAAAATTTTATTGGTTAGAAAGAGAGGACAATACTCCATAAGACTCCGTACTGCAATCAAATGTTTGGATGCACAATAGGGACTGCAGACCCCTCCGTTCAGTTCGTGCATGTTCGTTGAAAATCAGCTACATATAACGCTGTCATATTGAAACATTTAAAGTAAATTCAATACGTGTTAACAATTTACGTGGTTAGTTTCTGCGTTTTCAAGTAAATTATTAACAATTTGCACCCCTATTGCGAACCTCAAAGTATTTTCATACATCCAAAGATAAGCAATTCTTGGTTTTTACACTACTTTTACAGCAACTTTACAGCTCTACTTTTACAGCAAAACTTCATTTCTCGTAGTTTTGAAGCGAAGAAACAAATAATTCTGAACGGAAGGCCCACACAAGGACACATGTGAAGACCTGCGTAAGAAATATAGGTGTTGTGGTAAGATATCTTTGGCATTTTTAAAATAATTAAAGATGTTGTCATTGTAAAGCCATCAATTTTCCATAAGTATTTCCGTTCGAGACCAAAATGACATAGCCAAACACTATTAAAAACTACGACACAGAATCCATCACTGAAAAACACACAGAACAATGGAACAGTTTTCTGACTTTCACCACGGCCCAAACACCGTATTTGCAAAAAAACGTCACAGCAAGAAGTAATTAATTCATATTCAAAAGCAGGACAAAAGGCAAAACCAACAAATAGTGATTCTTAGTAAAACAGGAATGATAAACCAAAAAATCTATGACTTTCTGGATAACAAAACCAGACTGGAAAAAAAACTTTCCAAACGACCCACAAAAAAGTTATGCTTTTGCGCATTTCTTAAGCAAGAAAGGACTTGAAAACAAATTCTTCAAGCCCTTTTTCGTAATTTTCCCAAAACCCCAATACATACCAACAAAAAAAAACCCCTTTCTCCCCCTAAAAGACCCTCCTATGGCCTTTCCAAAGAAAAATATTTTTACCCCATAAAAAAAGGAAAAAAATAAACTCCCAAAATTTTTTTTTTTTCCAAAAAAAAAAAAGGAACCTGGTAGTTATCTTCTCTCTTG